GTGCACGCCCTGCCCATTTTAGGCGTTTTCCATTTAATGATCATTTCTTGAAGTATTCTTTTTAGATTCGACGTTCCAGCACTGAATCCCCAGTTCCGTTCTTTTACTTGATTCTTGGGAAGTTCGATGGCTATGTTTACTGGGGGAAACTTATGCTATGGAGCCAGACCGTGACCAAACAGTACTTTCATGTTCTCAGCAGTTTCGAGGGACGACCCCCTTACAAGTACATGGCTTATTTCTCCTTCTTTTCCCGCTGTTATGAGTTATCATCTGAGCCCTTCTTCTTGCGAAGAAAGTACGCAGTCTGCCAGGCTGTGCGCTGATCGAGGACCTCCCCTACTTCTTCGTTTCTTTCTCCTATTCCCTTCCCATAGCAGATCTTTCAAAGCCTTGTGTTCATATCCAACGTGGCCATTACGATCAAATGCTATTGTTAGATGACTCCCGTCTGGAGCTGATCTGATAGCGTCGTCAAAGCTCAGATAGAACTAATAATTTTCGTAGCTGGAGCAGCCAGCTTGCGGCGCGTATACGAATATTATTGTCCAATACTCCTCTTTCGAGTCTATCCTAGTAGCCATGAGTCACTCGCTGATCCTGCTGACAGCAGAGCCAGAGTCTTGGACAATCACGGATTGTTATGTTCCTCTCAGGCGAAGGCTATTCGGTCAAAACGTCAGTCTGATAAAGCTTACTTGTAGACCTCGTGAAGAGCTCAAGGAAACAATATACTCATAAAATAATTTTTGTACTAGTTATATTTATGTATTTGTATTTACACAACTAACTAGAACTTAGGAAACCCACTTTATATTGCCGGCAATCAACACCTTTTCTAGAAGATGATATAATAACAAGTAGTTTGGACGAAGGTAGTAATTCAAGCTGCTGAATGTTAATATCAATCCACAAAATACAGCGAAATCATAATCAATACCTTAAGTGTTCCGCAAACGCTAGTAACTCCACTGGGCAGTTTGCGAGGAGTCTATCCATTTCTACTTCTCGTTTTGTTCTTAGCACTCTATTTCTGTCTCTGAATCAAATCTATTTTTAAAATTGATGTAGCCTTTGCTTTTGTATAGGCCAACTTTGGACTCAAGCCCAGAGTAGACCACACCAAGAAATCTAGCGTTTTATTATACAGGAGCTTTTGCTTTTACTTATTCGATGCCTACTTGCCAAAAACTTTTTCCTGTCGTGGCGGACCAATACATATGTTCGTTCCTCAACAAAGCGAGCAAACGATTTCAAAGATGTTGATATCACCAGATTCCTCTGCATTTTGTATGTGATGCTCAATCCATATTCCTAACCTCCTCAAACTAACAAACTACAGATCGTGTCCAACTAACCATAACGTTCCCCTATGTCACTTATACCAACATAAAACGTATGCTCAACTCCGGAGACTATGGAGCGAGGGAGACTGCGCAGCCAGTCGGGCACGCGTTATTACCGTCATTACCGCTATGAACCCCATTACCGGGAGCAGAAAAACAATGTAACCAGCCTAGACAGTGCGAGCCATGTCTGCATTTCCAGAGCTCACACAGTGGAATACATGGCAAGAATTACCAGTTTTGTTGTAGCTCAAGTGATTTTAGTTCATGGATGTATTTCTACTTTATTTAGGGGAGTTCAGAATCTTTCAGCCATCATTGTTGTTTTCAAACATTGGTGTACCGAAATCATGGCTTTCTCCTTGCTACTAACACCCTTAAACTCTTGTAAAACTGAGAGAGCAGTCATTTGCTAGCCAGAAGCTTCCTTTCACGAACAGGAAACTGCCCTACACTTGTCCCCATGAAACAGACATCACAGTTAGCTTTTGGTGTTCTGTTGTGGAACTGCAATTTATTGATCTGCAATCCTTCCACATCCGCACTGGTATTCGATGCTGCTTCTTTGAGCGCTAGTTGAGAAGACAACTCGATGTGCTCATCCCTGAAGAACATCCCCGCAACCGGTTCATATAAGATAAACTCTTAGAAGAATACAGTGCTTCTTAATCAAGCAAGCTTTCCACGGTGAGGTTAATGTTTGGCGCAGAGTTACGATCAAATTGGTTTCTTCAGAGGCTGATTGGTGCAGATCTCGTATGTTAGAAGTTGCATCTAGGGCAACTTTATTCCTCAGAAGCCCTTCGAAGAAAAAACTTCTCTTAAAACTCTTTAAGGCGAAATAATACCTCACTGAGACTTGTTTTGAACAGAAGCACGGCAATCATATGAAATCACCTCTGCATAATAAATTATTACGAACGATAATATTAGTTTTAAAAATTATGCGCGGAGAACAAATCAAAGAAGTAGTTCAACTTCGTTTCGCACGTGCCTTAGACGGAACTCGAACTTTACAATACAACGTGGCGAAAAACTAAGTGCGCCATGAAAAACGCTCAAACTTCATTATTTTTATACCAACATGGAAAGAAATATATTTCCTTGGAACAACAAACAATGACATTACATAATCACAACAAGTTTTCAAAGTGCCCGCCTTCTGCTTTGATATAGGCTTCGATTCGTCTTTTCGCCGAAACCACGGTGCGCCAAAGGTAGTCGATATCCAAACTGTCCCAGATTTTGCACACTCCCTTTCGCAAAGCCACCAAACTTTTCTCGGGATTCTATTCCTCGGTTCCTCTTCCATATTACCCCAAACAATGAAGTCCAAAGGATTCAAATCTGGGCTATTAGAAGGCCACAGAACCTTCGTCAGAAAGGGGACTATCTCGGTCTCGAGGAAGTGACTGGTGGATCTCGCTGCATGGGCCACAGCCCAGTTTTGCTGGAAGATGAAGTTGAGATGATTTCGCTTCCAGGATAACACAGCTTCTTCAGGGATTTCTTGTTTGTACAACTTCAATTTTCACATTTTTTGTCTGTGAAAATCAACTGAGTCTTGCCTGATGCACTGATACCACTCTAAACCATTAAACTTTCGGGGAACAAACTTCTTGTGGCAATTCGTCTATTCCGGATGTTCTCAAATACGGGATGAAAAAGTTGGCAATGATTCTGAGGGTTTTAGCCACTTCCACGGTGAACACTTTTTGGGACAGTTCGGACATCGACTACCTTCGGCGCACCGTGGTTTCGGCGGAAAGACGAATCGAAGCCTGTATTAAGCAGAAGGCGGGCACTTTGAAAACTTGTTGTGATTATGTAATGTCGTTGTTTGTTGTTTTCAGGAAATATATTTTTTCCATGTTGGTATACAAATAATAAAGTTGAGCGTTTTTCATGGCGCACGTGATTTTTCGCCCCCTGTACTCTCCCTTCGTCCTCTTCAGTAGGGTAAGGGAGAACAGAAACATATGATAAATTTATATAATAAATAAATAAGTTAAGAAGTGTTGGATAGATATAAATGTACCGGGGAAAACTGGCAATGGCAGTGTCAATACCCATTATTAAACGTCACAAGGAAAGAAGTTAAGACAAGTAGGCAATGAAAGGTAATATGGTTGCGATAACTAGGAAGGAGGCTTGGGAAGGAACTAAGCTAGTGAGAGTAGTAAGGTGATGTTAATAAAGTGATGAAATCATACTCGCTGAATTTAATTGGTTATTTAACCAATAGTATCATGATATGTGCCTAAAATTCTAGTGAGTGGTTTATAATTCGAGTGGTACTTATGGGTTATAAACTTATTTCTAGCTGAACTTTTTATAACACCCGTGATGAAAACGTCCTTACTATAACCCATTTGGCATGCTTGATGTCCCATATACCTAGGTGTATCCAAAAAATTAAGAATACACTCTGCTAATTTTAATACCCTTAGAAACGTTGGTAGTATAGTGTGGGAAACGCCCGACTAGGAGTCCAAAGCTGTCTGCCTCATTATACATCTTGGTGAATATTTTGCCTTCTTCCATAAGTATTTGTAAGTCCAAATAATTACACCTGTGTCCATTTTCATGGGTTATTTCCAAGGTGAGAGTGTTTTTATGAACCAGCTCATGCTATTGTAAAATTGTATCAGTATCTGAGTCATAGATAATAAGCAAATCGTCCATGTAACCGAATGGTGTTAATTTGGGGTTTATTCGTTAATCCTTGTAATGCAATGTAATCCTTTGTAATGAGTACTCATATTGGAATAAGGACAATGTAAGTTCTGCAAGTAACGGACTTGCATAGCTGCTCGAGGGACACCTACTTTTTGTATAAAAAAATATTCCGCAAACCAACAGTAGCTATTAGATAGTAAGTTATCAATAGCATGAAGAAGATCCTCTATAGTACAGTAGTTATATCTAGCGTAGGAAATGTTGTCCGTGTAAAAAGAATTGTATCCATTGCTAGCTATATTTTTCTTGTTGCTATTCTTGTAACATAACTTCAAAACTTTCTTAATATTTTCCATTATTACGTAATGAGAAAGATTGGTAAACATATTGCTGGAGTCTGCGAAAAAACCCGAGTACACACGTTCCTTTAAGCTTGTCTAATTTCTTATGATTTCAGCCGCTTGTTTTGGGCGTCTGGACACTACCGCTGCAACGAGCAAAAGATTGTTCCGAAACCCCATGTGTCAAATCAGAAATCAGGCAATGCTTTCTGGGATCTATTCAGATTTTCGTGAATTTATAACTAGAGATAGTTGTGTTTATACTCCTGCTTAGTTTATAGGCGTTTGAAATGGTTTGCAGTCCTCATTGCGTTCTCATTATGGCCAAAGGTAACAATCATCTTGCAAAATAATTCGGATAGTTCACAAAGACGGGGACAATGGGTTATCTATACTGTTTCGGAGAGCAGCTGAATGTCCTCACTAAAGCATTGATTCCAGCTGCAATTTGTCGGGTTGCAAAGCCTTGGCGTACTCGTGATGCAAGTCTAGTACATCCATAGATAATGTGTTATGCTGAACCGCGTGCTGAAGTTTTTGAAGACCTCTGAAGGTCATTTGCTAGGAGACAGAGTCTTTTCCGTACATGATTCATCAAACAGAATTTTGCTAACAACAAGTTGAGATCAACTGCTTATGACGAGAAAAACTGGGAAATTTGTAGTACGATAATCGAAGTGGAAAGAAAGTACCGTATATGTGTCCAAGGCAAAGGTCCGCGTAGTTCAACTAGAAGGTAGAGTAGACACCATAAATCGTCAGGTCGTCCTTGCTCTCCCCTTTCTTGAGCGTTGGCCGAGCAATACCGTATAGTTCCTCTGAAGGCATAGTTGATTAATCTCACCTTGAAGATTATGGTAAAGTAAAAAGATAAGCCACAGTTAGCTGCGTGGCTTGAGGAGCCGTAAGTTACACTTGAATTACAACAATGAACAGTGCGAGCACCCATCACTTCCTTTGAAGAACTCTTCAACAAGCAGTTTGTGCAACAAACACGATGTGCTACTCGAGTCCTCTGTTTCATCCCGTGTGCGTGATGGAGGTTGAAACTTGCGCTCTTCAGATTCACATCTCTTTTTTCTTGAGCTTAGAGTTTTGAGCTCATGCATGTGCCTCTTTCGATGCAGCGGCAGTATGCGGTAGAAATAAATTCTTTGGCTTAAGGGTTGGTTTACCGAGCTTGTGTGGTAGTGCGCCACTGTATGTGCGAGCGTTGTGTACGTGTGTGTAACCAGGTTGCAGTATACATGTGGCTCTCCTTGGTGCTGCGTATCAGGCGATTTGGTACCTGATCACTTCTCAAGAGACTTGCTATAGTAAATTCTAAATGAAAACTTCACTCACCTGAAATGAGCCCTTGGACGCGGTCGTCGCATCTTTGTCCGACCATCTCTATCCACAACTATGTACTCCCGTGCCAGACCAAAATCGAAAATATGGATGAAACGGTGCTGTGGAGTTCCGCTACAGCCAAGAGCCATGTTTCCCGGCTTAATATCTCGGTGTACAAACCCAACCTATTCAAAGCAATTCTTTGAAAGAGTTTATCCTAACGAAAATTTGCGTTGTAACTGTACTCACATCATGGAGTTGCTTTATTTCATACAGAGTGTTTATTCCTATTCGTATTTGAGTTGACACTGTGCAAATTCTTCCGACTTTCCTTAAAAAACGTGAGATTCAATGTAATGATAACGAGGTAACGTCGAAATGTTCAATGAACGAGTTTCCAATGAGTTTCCCAGCCTTTGACCTTTAACAATATTCATAAGCACAATATTTCATCCTTGCGGATCAAATTGAACAATGCTCGTCGCATGCGTAGCTTTCTGCAGGATTGGCATATGTAATCAGAGAAGGCGAGTCGAATAACTCGCCATATTCGAATAACTGAGACCTTTTTCAATGGGTAAATACAGCTTCACTAGAAATTCGGAGTCAAATTCCGTCAATTACTTCATTGACGCTATAACTGCACAGACTAGTTCATCCCACTCTAGACATCTTGAGTGCTACGCCGCGTTTCCTTGATCGCAGATAGATGCTCGCGATATAAGGTGGTTGATGGTCATGAAGCTACACGATATCGACTAGTAGCGCCATAGAATTGCGAGTTCACAGAGGAAAGGCGCAGATGTTCGGTATGCAGGCAACCACAAAGGAGTATTGGCCTCATTTTAATAATACCGAGCACATGCACTTATGGTTACACAATCCGAAAAAGATAGAATTGATAGAATCAAGATAACGGGCGATTCCCTGGAGGCCAACTGCACAGAAAAACCTTGCGAAACACTCTACAATTAGACGCCTCGCAGGGATCAGGAAAAATGGTAGGAACTCTTGTTTTCGGGATTCGAACCAGAAGATGTGCTCTTGAAGCACCATGCCACTCAACACTTACATCACCAAAATCTTAGATCTTTCAAGCTTTCCATCGGCAATCTAAACATAGCACTCTCACTCACAAGGTGAACAGCATCGGATTATAGAAACGCCAAGGCAAACCATTTTAGAAACCTTTCAGAAAGTAATCCCACTATTGCTCTATTCAGAATGTTTTATGCCGACAAAAGAAGATTCCCTATGCTAATCGGAGCCACAGCCGCATGTTCGATCCTAGCCTGGCATTACGGATTGATTCCTCGAAAGTCGTGTGAGCCTTCATTTCCTTCGAGGCAAAGTCCACGATAATTCTCCGGTAAGCAGTTTGACTCAAGAGAAATAATGGAAACTACGCTACAGGTAGTGTAAAAATGACGAAAAAGGAGCAATATGGTTTTGAAAAGTAATAAGAAAGGGATTGCACGAGACTGTATGTCCGTAAACTTCTGGGTGTTTCCAGGTGACGCATTATTTCTCGTGTCTTAACGCTTCATTGTGAATGGTGCAACCTTAACAAAGCCAGCATGACATGCCCACATTTGCTTTTAGAGCCAATATCGCCCTCTGTCAAGGCTGTTTTCCGGCCCGACAATGTCCCATGGGCTATCCTTGGGGTCACAGGTCTAGCCTGTGAGAAAATCCCAGAAACCATTTTTATCGTGAACTTTGCCTTAAAAATTTATCAAAAGCATACTGGTTTCCGCACAACGAGACCTGTCTTTCGGTAATGCTAGCAGATCAACTCATGGGTCTAGTCCGTATCCAATACATCCTTGAATTCAGATTGAAGTCGGGTTCGTGGTGTCTGCTCTATTTTCATTTAGAGATGTTGCGCATTTTACTACTTTTATGATTTCCAAAAAATTGAAAACTTACTTTAAAATCGTGTCCAGGCTTTCTCCTAGCAATGTCATTACGATATACGAGTACGTAGTCTTCTTTCCAGTTTGAATGAGCTGAGCAAAATAAGCTTTCCCCTCAAGACGTCGTAAAATCTGAAGCAAGACGTGTTACGATTGTCCAAGCCTGATAATTATGAAGGCAAACAACCATGGCTTCCAATCTCAGAACAGATCGTTGACCCTGACCCCATTCAACCTTCAGTGCTGCCTGAAAAAGACGTTGAGAAATAGAAACCTTAAATTCCGCCCCGGTTGTCAATAGAAAGATGAGTTGTAATGGTGAAATGTTTAGTCACAATCACTAGGACAAACAAATCATCAACTACAGATCGTGCAGTCAATGTGGCAAGCAACGACAAGGCGGAGCGCTGAGAGGTGATCGGCGAGAAGATTTCACAGGCTTTGGGGCCCGACTGGCTTCTGAGCCGCCAGCTAGGGGAGATGCAACTTCAGCATTTAGGAAGAAAACTTCTAAGTTCATTGAAACATGGGTAAAGGCGCGTTGTTTTGGTCTGGAAAAGGTAACAGCTCCTCCGAAGCTTCAACAATACGACACGACATCGTGAACCTTACAAGCCGTACAACATCTGCTACATCTCGCTCAAGAAGGTACAAGAATACGTAGATAGCACAGAATACTAAGTAACTGTATCCAAATCCTCCAGTGAGTGAGCTTTGATAGGAGTCTTCAATGACTGTCCACGCCATATTCAACTGAATGAAATCCTCTACTTGAATGATCCCCATAGCACTGTGGTTTAATACTGGCGCTGCACATTCGGGAGAAACAAAGGCTTGATCAAGAGCTGCTCGATGCTCCGCCATGATTATATACTCAGCATTGATCAAAGCCTTTCGTGCTCCACACATTATATGCTTCAACGCTTCAGTTCTTCATTGATAAGACTGTTATGATACCACGGCGACAGTAGTAGGTATCATTCAAGTCTTTGCTAGTCTCGTACACGTTGTACACATGTTGCTCATACAAGTACCATCTCAGTGCGATCTTGTGCAAAGAGGAATAGAACCAGGGGATAAATACTGACCGCCATGATCAAGGGCAGTACTGAACTACGCCTTGTCTGAGTAATTTTAGAGTAAGCTTTTCCAAATTCTAGTTGCACTGCACTACAAAAGTGAGTGACTTTTCGGATAAGTTGAACCGACTACAGAAAACCCCCATCGGAAATTCTATAATATGAGCAGTGCCGTTAAATCATTTTCACTGTACGGAAGAAAGCTATCATTGTCTAAGCCGGGTATTCGGACTTTTTCTGAAAGGGAATGAAGCCAGACGCAAGTCGAGCGATTCTAAGGTATGGGTATAAACTCAAAGGTTCATCAAACATGCAAGGCTAAATTAAGAGAATTTTAACGAGTTTGCTCGCATAGAGTAGGACTTAACTTACCAGCTCACCACTATCAATATCTTCAACTTTGTATACGGCACCAAATGCACCCTCTCCGATTCGTTTCAAGATTTTCCAACGTCCTCCAACAACTTTACCCTTCGATAGTTGGCGTCCTTCTAAAAAAAGAGTTATTTTCCAAGAAAACGAAATCTTTTCCAAAACCTCTTGGGCCCAACATGTCCATGTCCTCGTATGAAGTATCCGTTGCCAGAAAATACTCACTTGCCATATGGGACAACCACCTGCGGGAATACAAAAACTAGAAATGGTGGAAGGTTAGCATTAAGGTTCTCCTAACCTCAGCCTATCATACTTGCTGTCGTAAACAACTTAATACTCAAGGGATAGAGAAACCATTGCTTGATTTTCGTTGTGATCCATGTGATTTTTTCCAGTTATTTCCCTAAGTCAGTTCTCTCTAGAACACAAGCATTGTCATGATGGCTTTCCTATACTTGTGATCAATTTTTACATCCCAAGGACGTGGCTTCAAAGTCCCACCGGAGTTTTATGATGCCACGCCTGCGCGAGCAACTCCATTTCGCCCTTGCCCCTCTCTCCTTTGTTTGTCTGATGGAGAGCTCTCAAACATTACATTTGATTCAGTCTCACAGGTATCTTTAAAAATAGGCATGTGAATGACCCCCCAACCTTACGGCACTCATAGCCTCGATGAAACTGCATAATCCCTAGGATTTGAGTGAAGCCATTGTTGTTTAGGGGCCTCTTGTTAGATGCGGTTCTGTGATGACCTGTGCAGGGCATTGGCAGTGGTCTCGAGGCATAGAACTGCTGGGATTGCATCCACTTGCATGCACTGTGCCGCGCCTCCCGGTCAAACCATCGAATTCGCTTTGCATTTTCAAACGTGCGGAGGGTACGGCTAGTACGGCATGTAAGGTCCAAAATCTCGTACCTGTTCTGGCGGAATGTGTAATACCAGTCGGATCGCCCGCCTAACATCGAGCATTAGTAAGAGAAGAATAGGGCGGAGTAAACCTCCCATTCAAAATATCAATGTTTCCTTCAACATTCGAGCCCAATTTACGAATGCAAGTAAGTGGGAAATAAAATGAGAATAAAACACTAATGAAATACGATTTCGTACTCTCCAGAATTCATAGTAAAAATTTTTTGTCAACTTTTGAACTTCTCCAATCTACCTCCACTTGTAGGAATACCCGGTCTGGCACCTACGACCTATGGTGGGGAGCCAGCCATGGCGTGAAAACCTGGGGATGCGCCTCTCCCGGGGATATACGAGGCCGTGGCAAGAGCGGCTGGGGGAAGGGCACACTCCTAGGGACAGGAATAAGTGGAGCTGTTGTTTTGTTTTAGATATACAACTATACCTTGTTCTTCTTTTGTCGATTTCATTTTGTTCTTGGGTTATTCTATCTTGTCTTGAAGTATAACAAAAAAGTATTAAAAGTACGACTCAACGATGCAATTCTGTTGAGTCTGCAGCTGCTTGAGTCCCAACATCTTATTCTTGCAACAGGCATTTAATAAAGTATAATGCACCATACTGAACGAATTGTTTCAACACATTCGAGACAATAAGGTTTAGGTAAAGCCCTGCATAAGTAACCTGACAAGGAACGTTTTGGGAATTAATACATCTTGCAAATGTTCTAACCATTCAGAGGGGAAAGGGGAATTGAAAAGTAGAGGCTTAGGAATTTCACAATTGCGTGACCGCTTTGACTTCAGATGTTACGAAACACAGATACACTCGGGGGGAAGGGGAAGCAGACATTCTTACGATTCTCAGATCGATGAGTACTAATACCGCCCCCTTGATTTGATCTGCCTTTTTATAGCAAGTTCCTTCGAATTGGCAATACGTCAAAGTCTCTTTTGTTCCGAAAGACCAGAAATGATTTTAATTGTTCCTCGGTAAGCCTTTATCATGGTTAGCTTTGTCCACACAATAGTTTAAGTCAGGCATCGTGAACGCGGGTATGTGGAGCCATATTATAATCATTGGTCCTGGAACTTTTTTGGGTTATTCAATATCTCTCAGTACTCCCATGTTGGGAGGTGTAGGGCCGTGTGTGGAGCGATGTTTTTCAGAAATAGTTATTTGCCCAATTATTCGTGTTTGTTGAAAAATGCTCGGTGATTCGGTTAGGAAGTGTTTTAATAATCAATAACTATTATGAAGATTTTGAATACGTAGCCTAATTTAGTGCTTTGCTATACCAGTCCAAGAATAGATCGCTTTCAAAGCTGATTTTTGAAGTCAGAAATAATTTCTATCTTTCTCTTATTGTTTTCTGCTCCTCGTTTGCTTCCAATTTCATGTTGTTGCGTTATCTCACGTTATCGGAGTAGTGACTAACGCGACATTTCAAGACTGTACGAACACGGTGGCAGGTAACAGTAATTCCCCGGAGGAAACTCCACTACAACAAGCACGACGAAGACAGGAATGATGATTGTGAGCATTTATTTGTTTTTTACCTTTTTATAGCATCGCAGGTTCACAGGTTGCATTTTTATTTCTTCATTGTGGTTTTTGATCCAGTGTAGATTTTATTAAAATAGTTAGAAGGGAATATAGTTATTAATGTATTATATGTGCTATCACATGTGAGATTTTGCACTTCGCACACATGACGTTGCTGGTTGGAATGATCAATGATCAGTTGCTGGTTACGCGAACACGTTGAATTGTGATTGGGATCGTGGGTGATCGAGACTGTGTAGGGTTGATGTCAGATCTTGATTGATGGTGCCTTGCCCATAAAATTGAACGCTGTTGTTGAGGTTTTCCTGAGACCAAACCCGAAACTGATGGTGACATTTTGATTTCTGCTGCTTATTCTTCTGGTTTCGCGAACCCATAAAGTTTCTCTCCTCTTTTCGAGAATGAGAAGAGGTGATTATGTGATTTTGCTTACTATTGAAGTTTGTTCGTGTTCAAACGGGATCATTGCTACTGGTCATCGACGCGGGTAACGGGTCAAATACGAGACCCTTTCTTCTTCTCTTATATGCCTGATACATTCTTTTCATTTTCCTTTTATTTCGATTAATTTTTTCATGCGCAATACATTATTAACACTGTTCATAGGTAAAAAATCTTCACATTCTGAAAAAATATATTCTATGGAGGTACATAGAATATGGAGATACTCAGGATGTGAAGAGACACACGTACATAGAATATGGAGATACTTAAATACAAAGGATATGGAGATACATGGGATCAAAAAGATTATGAGATTGCTTCAGATGGACGTCGTAAGAGCGTATGAGGAGGACTTGCTCGTCCTGAATGATCCGCAATAGAGTAGAATTTCTGATGAACTTTTGTGAGATAGTCTTGAACCGTTCCAAGACAGGCTGTTGAAGCCTTCTCACTCTTCATAATATGTCATGTACTCGCTCATATCTATCCGTTTCTTGTAACAATACATTGATGGAGGCGCAATAGTAGGTCATTTAAATGACTAACGAGAATGCTCGAGAGATGTTGTATGCATTAGATGATTTGGATCGCGTACTCCAGGAAAACAGTCGACGCAGGCATTATGTGCGGAGGGAGCATGTGCCGTTTCTTGGTGACGGAATGAGGACGTTCGACGAGTACATTGAAGCATTCGGTGTTCTGCACTTCAAACATTATACGAGACTTTTGCCGACAGAGTTCGAACGCCTACTTGATAGAATTGGCATGGTGCTTGGACATCGTCCGACACATGCGTCCCCAATAAGCCCTCGCCACCGGCTTTCATTTTGCTGAGGTAACAACAATCGAGGGCAGGGGAGCACACGCGCAAAAGTTTTCGATTCTCTCAATTTGAGGTATATCTGTCACGGCTACACGTTTTCAGCTCTAGCCGAAGAAGTCCACTGTGGAGTATTGACGGTTCAGAGCATTGTTTATAAAGTGGCAAGTGCTATACGGAGTGATGAGGCAATAAAAGACAGATGGCAGCACGTAGCAAAAATTCTATGCCCTTCGTAAGGTTGTTCTTTCAAGTTTTGTAACGCGAAGCAACTCCTCCTTTCACCAGACAGCAATTGGAAGATGTTGCTGCTGAAACGCAGACGAGATATTATTATCCGAGGGCTTTGGGATTTTGGGAACGAAAACGTATAAATATCAAGGCGATAACCAGTTAGTTCTACGAGCGAATTCCGATAAAGTAGTGATACAAATTGCAGAAGCCTGCCCACTCTGGAGGGTCGTGTTTTGACTACAAGCTCACCCACTCCATCACACTGCTCGCCCTAGTGGATTGCGAAAACCGCATACTCGCCTTTGATGCCGGGGCACCAGGTCGCGTGGGGGACGCAGGTGTTCGCATGAGGTCGAACATTAAGGTGAAGAACGGATCACAAAGATGTCTTCAAATCACTTAATGCATCCATTCCAGACACTGATCGACAACAACGACCATTTGTTCCCTCTCACGCGAGACTTGGAAATGTTGGCCCAGTGCAGTACCACATATTGATCGACTGTGGTTTTGCGCAAGGGCACCGCTTCGTACGACCATACAAACGTGCTAAGGCGGATACACCTGGCAAAAGAAGATTCAATGCGAAGCACAGCGGGTGAAAGCTAGTTCTTCCTGTTCTTTCTTACAACTTAATTCCCTTTACAGTGCCTGGCGAGCGGTTGAATCCACGTTTGGAATGTTGAGCAGGCGATTCGGACTCTTCCAGACCACTATACAGATGGAGCCATCCCACGCTGCTGCCGTTGTGGTGTCGTTGGTAAGTAAAAATCTTCCTAAGAAGTGCAACCATCTGGGACTCCTCAGATGCATTTTTTACAATAGGTGCTACACAATTTGGTACTTGGATGGTGGATGCAAAGTAGAGAAGCGGAAGGACTGCCATCAGAGATTCTTTGAGAGCTTGATCCACTGGAAGACCGATTGCAAGAAGTGGAAGAGGAAGTGCGGAGTGCGGTGCAAGTGGAATTAATAAGGGTTGATTACGATACCCGTTAGTTAGTATCACCATCACTCCCCACATTGGCCCTGTGCGTAAGGTAAAAAGGAACAGGAAGAAGCACAACGCCCACTGCCTCCCTCCTTTCACAATTCAAGCCCACCAACGTTGAGGGCGAAGGCAGTTAAAGCTGTTTTCGAAACTATTGGTGATTGTGGCGACAGACATAGTTGCAAACTTTTCTACTCAAATCTCACCGTTAATACTCTTCTTCTTGTAGCTGATGTGTGGGATCATTCAATGCCGAAGCATCGACATGCGTCGTTTCCTTCTCCAACAAAATTGCGTTGATTGGATCCACTTTCTTCTTAAGTAGCTATTTTCCGCACTCGTGGGAGGCATAAGCCTACCGTAGAAGTCATACTTATCCTCGTTTATCAGACCTGCAGCAACTTCAACACGAGCGGTGGCTCTTCTTACTAGCGCCGAAGACTCGGTATGTAAAATATTCGAAACGCAGCAATCTTGCATTGCCTAGATATTACACTGCCTAGGTAGAGGAGCATACCATCGTCAATTCTCCTTCTTTTTCGCGCTCTAGCTGAGCCAGGGTAGCTCGTTGTTGGCTCAAAGTCGCTGCTGCTGGACCGCATTACCCGGGCTGGTGCATTGGTGCTTGAGGCCGAAATTCCAGATGCACAGGGTTCATCTAGTGCTCATCTGAAGTTGCCGTATTCGTCAATATTGGACACTGTTCTCCTAAAATGAGATAGCTGCAAAACGATTAGTGAAGTCTCGTTGTAGATAATGCCGTGCGTATTCTGTTTCTTCCAGGAACTTTAACGCGTCGTCATATGACCATTTTGGTGATGCGGGAGATCCCGTTCCGATCTCATTTCTCCGCCTCTTCCAGTGATCTTTTATATTCTTTCACGTGGATTTGATTTCCGATACTGAAACATCCGGCATAAATGTAGCTTATGCGGTGGCCTAGGTCGATTTAGACGAGCTAACAAAACATACGGGTCACACTGTATCCCTCGTCTTTCGAAATCTGAAGAATTCTTTCCCACGTGGTGTCTCGGCGGTCTTTTATTTTAAATGACTCACAACGGTAGCCCCACAAACATGGTTCATTTTCATTTAGTTCTATTAGCCGTATCCGCACCCCCTCTGGAAAAGTGCTAATTTTTGGAAGTACTCCCCGGCGATGTTTTAATATTCAATCTTGTGCTAAGGTTCTAATGTCATTATTTCTGTACTGTTTCGAATCAAAAAGAAGTTGAAAAACTATTGATATTCTCCCCACAGGCCTGCATTGCTAACGAGACAATTATGTCGACAGAACAATGCAAATGTTCAGTTTCTACTTGCATATGTACTATTTGTACTAAACAGTTTCTATTTATTAGAGGAGTGAACAGGCATTTTCACATTTCTATGTTCCTTCTCCTGTTATTTTCTCCTTTTTATTAACCTTCCCTATTGAAATATTCCAATAAAAATAGGTCAACCTCGAAATCCATAGAACTGTAACTCTAGTAACAGAATTTTTTCTTTCAATTTACCATTATCATCCACAACCATCTCATAGAAGAACAACAAGAAAACCTTCTTCATATGTCTAGAGCAATTATAATGAGTAAAGAATGAAAGAAAGAGCCGAACATACAATGAATAAAAATGAAAAAAGCTGAATTTACTCAAATAAAGACCAAAAAGCAGAATTGACTCACCTACACGTAGCCCTGCGGCCATCTGGGTGCTAAAAAAGCAGAATTGACTCACCTACACGTAGCCCTGCGGCCATCTGGGTGCTAAGCGGGTTTGTGGAGGGACTACGCAGTGGCACTCTGTTCGTCTGGCGCTCTCTCCAGCGAGATAGTACTGGGCCTGAGTCTGGGAAGGAATGGTGAGGTTGCACTGATGCGATTTGTGGTTTAGAAGAAATTAATTTTTGGCACGTGTTGATATGCTTGCATATTGTGGATAGTCTTTTCTGAGACGATTTTAAGTCTTAGTGAGAGACCCTTCTAAGCCGTTATCCCATAAAATTTTTCAATAAGGGAGCCGATGATTCAAGAAGAGTATTTTTATTTATA